GTGACAAAGCGGATCGACAGAAGATGGAAAGAAGCAGCAATGCCGGGGTAGTTTTCCACAGTATTGGAGTCATGGCAGATGCTGATGTGCATGGCACACCTCCAGGTCTGCACAACTGCATCACAGAATCACTAAGGTTAGAAAATACCTATAAGATCATCTAGCCCATCCACCAATCCAACACTACCATACCCACCAGACCATGTCCTCAAGTGACACGTCTACATGTTCCTTGACCACCTCCGGGGATGGTGACTCCACCACTTCCCTGGGCAGCCTGTTCCAGTGCCTGACCACTCCTTCACTAAAGAAGTTTTTCCTTATATCCAATCTAAACCTCCCTTGATGCAACTTGAGGCCATTTCCTCTTGTCTTATCACCAGCTACCCGGGAGAACAGCCCAGCACCCACCTCCCTACAACCTCCTTTCAGGGAGCTGTAGAGAGCGATCAGGTCTCCCCTGAGCCTCCTTTTCTTCAGGCTAAACAACCCCTCGTTTAGAACGAGACTTTTCTCCAGACCTTTCACCAGCTCTGTTGCCCTTCTCTGGACACGCTCTAGCATCTCTATGTCCTTCTAGCAGTGAGGGGCCCAAAACTGAGCACAGTACTCGAGGTGCGGCGGGGCGGCACTCTGCCCCGTGACAACAACACGAAGTGAAAACAACGCGGGTGCCAATTTCCTACTGGTAACAGTGCCATGCTGACAGTCCTGGGCAAAGAAGCATTGGGAGGGCAGGAGGTACAGCAGCACGGCACCCTTCCTGCCATCCACCCGTGGGCCATGCTGTTGGAGGCAGGTGCTGGTTTTGTTCTCCCTGCTCATAGATTTGATGGCCTCTCTCTGGAGGCTGCTAAGACTGCATGTGGGAGGTGGGGAGGTCTCGGGGGAGGGTGGCACAGCTCGCTCACTGTGGCACCCTTCAAACGAAAGCTGGCTACGCTACTTGGTAGTGCGCGGTAATGAGCTCTGGACGGCTGGCCATTATCCGCTGATCAAAACTGAAACACAGAAGCCCGACGAGACCACAGAAACAGTTCAGCCCAGGGATAATTACAGCTTCATTTAACTTGCATCTACAGAAACTCTCAGTAAAGTTAATTAGCAGTTTGTTTCGGTGGCAGCACATGTATGACACACACTTCTGTCACAACTCCCTCCTGCTTTGCTCCTTTCCCCCACTCCCTCGTCAAACACAGCAGTTGGTACCAATTAGCAGTCTTTCAGCAGAGGGCACAGGAAAGGATTTACACCGGTGTCTCCTCATGCTGGTCCTCCAAGCTGGGCTGCAGCTGTACCAGCGGGGCTCTGGAGTGAAGCAGCCCTGTTTCAGTTGAGCTGAGAATTTCACCCCCCAAAAGTTATCAAACGAGCTTCTATCTTTAAGAAGCATAAAAGGCACCTCAGTATAAAGAAAGAATGTGATACAATTTTGAAGTCCTCTCTTTC